ACACTTCGTCGGCCGCGACGGCTTTGCGCTGCTCCCTCTTGGCGGCATTGAGCTCCGCCTTTGAGCTCCCCAGCGAGGCACAGCTTTCACCGCCATCGCCAGGGTCCTCCGTAGTGAACCCCATGTCACTATCTGCTTCACTAGCCGCCGAGGTATTGGAGCACACGAACCGTCCGTGCTTATCCCTCCGCGGCTGCGAAGCACTCGCCCCTCTAGATGCCTGCCGACCCCTCCCCGAAGTCGGCAACTTGGGGGCCGGCAGACCTTCCTCGTCTGACAATCGGCACACTGGACGTTTCCTAGCGGAAGACGTCCTACGCGATCGATTTCCGCCGCTTCCAGTATCAGATCCTGCCTGATTTTCTACCTCTACTGATTTTTTTAGATATTTTTCTCTTTCCATTTTTTATCCCACGAGTGTGGAGGAAATAACAGTCCATCCGAGCAGTGCCTCCTTTGCCCGGATAAGCCTATGCGTAACCCGTCAAGGGTGTCGGCCGGTACCCCGACGGGGGCAACGCTAACGACTGAACATTTACCCATCAGCCATGCAGCTCCTCACGGTGTGCCACGCTTGAGCTTCGGGTGATTTTTTAAAGAGGTTATCATCCTCGCGACTCCAGGCGGTTAAGCCAAGAGCCCTCGGCCCCTAAGGCGCCGCGAGACGTGATCCACGACACGCCAGAGGGATTCCGAGGTTCGAATGGTGGCAGAGTCGCTACGGGTTCTTCTCATGCCTGCCCAGAGACCGGGTTAGGGAACACTGAGCCCATTCAGTTTCCTTTTTTACAGGGTGTGGTCCCTGAAAATCCCGCGATTACGGGTTGCCCGGCGTCGGCAAAAGCCGAGTGCACCTGGCACCTCACCGCGCATGTCACATTCTCTGTTCCTCTCAAGGGAGAGGATACAGGAAGCAACTAATAGGCCCTCCGCTATGCAAAAAAGCCCTCACCCAGCCAGTTTTGGTCCGCGACGGTTTCCCGCTACCACCCATATCTGAGTGGCGTTCCCCTATCCGCCACCTGGGGACGCGCCCGATGGGAGCTCTGGCAACTCCACACACGGGAAGTGGGACCTCTACCCTAACCCCAGCGGTAGGCGCAGGTTACTGAGATGACGGACACCAACGGAGTGCAGCCCCAGAAAAGGCTCTTTCATAAAATAGAGCCAGCTCTACACATAGAGCGCGCTCTGCTCACAAGAAAAATGAAACAGATAAACCACACCCGAGACCAGTACCTTTAGTAACTAACAACAGCCGCCGCAACAGCAGCAGATACCATCAAAAAATCGGTATGCATCGCAATCGAGGTCGGCATCCAGGCCCTGCCCGATATTAGAGCCGGGACATATCCAATAATCGCCATAATGAAGGCGCTGGCGCAGCTACTGGCTCGTCACTACGGAGGCGAGTAACTCGAGTAACCTGCACCTCTATTGGAATCCGGACAGAATCCAGTAGAAGCTGCATAAACTCCGCACAGTAGCTCAACCGGCGTACCACAGAGCAACTGTCTTTCGCCGGTCCTGTACGCGGCTTACACCAATGACATTCCAACCTTGGTAAGACACCTACGCGAATGGGAGGACGATGTAGAGCTGGATCTATATACGGACGATAGCGCCTACTTCACATCGTCCAGAATAGTCCATATCGCCGCTGCCAGGATGCATGACCGTGGCTGGATGAGTAGAGGATAGCCGTTAACGTTAGTAAGACGACCGCTCTGCTCACCCACCATCTCAGGAATTTATCAACACCACTGACGCTCAGAGGCCAAGAGATCGCGTATCAGAAGGCCGTGACCTACCTTGGGTGCCGGATAGACAGGATGCTGAGCATGACTGCGCACGGCGACATCGTCGTCCGCAATCCCAGATGTGCGTGGGCGATACTCCGTGCCGTCCTGATCTCCAAGCTGCCAATTAACACCAAAATTAAATTATACACGAAGTATATTAGATCGAGGCTAACATACGCCGCTCCGGCCTCGTACGCGCTCTTGATCGACAGACAGAGTTAGCGGCTTCAGATCCAGTAAAATTTATAACTACGAACCATCGTCAGTGCAGGTCGCTACGTCGGGAATGACGTCATCGCAGCCAACCTAAAGATGGAGAACATCAAGGAGTTTGTGGTCCGGCTGACGCGCGGTATGTTCGACCGCGCTGACAACGGGCCACACCCCCACCTCAACAACATGGCACCTTTACATGCTCGGCCCCCGGACGGGCAATCTCTACCATGGGAACTCCTCTCTATAGAGATTAGAGAGTCGAGTAACAACCCACAAAGTCACAGATAGACCCACATAGATTTTAGACAGCAATTTGCAGCGATCGGGGAATCGAACGCCCGACCGCTAATTTATGCCCACAATGCCAATAACGGCTCCACGACCGGTTCACTGAGTTGTAACGTGAGGAGAACCCGGGTAATGGGGAATGCCCCGAGGCCTGATACCTGTTGTGTGCTATAAAGCACACACGCAGACGTCAACGTAGTAAGTTAAATTGTAGAAAATCACTACCGAACAACTGGAAGAAATATTCAACTGAGGAAATCATCTGAAGAAAATAGTGAACAACTAACGGTGAACAACTTAGGGAACAACCGATAGTGAACAACCGTAGTCAACAACAGAAGTCGACAACCGAGTGTCAGAAGATTTCCGCCGAACAGCTGAGCCGTCGAACCACTGGCCACTACCTTGCCATTCGTATTGTTGCGTGCCACAATTAATGCCTGGTACATGGTGACACTAGTTACCACTAGCACCTTTTAGTATCGAGTAGCAGAAGTAGGAGAGTCAAGATCCTTCTAAAAATTTCCATGGAAGAACTTTCTAGAACTATCGACACCTAGTGAGTCGGGACCGGTATGTACCCGAACATTCTAGATGTTCCTACAGTAGAAGGTTCTGTAACTATCTGAGGCCCTATATAACGCCGATATAGACCGCGACCGGGGGCAGTGTTGAATTGGCGATACAAGCTTCGAAGTGATACAACTGCGAACTAAAGTGATCAGTTGTACAATTGTGTTTTGTTATTAGTGTGGTTTTAAGTTGTAATTGGTGCTCTGTAATTAAAGTGTCGATTTTGGTTGCTTGTAACTTGTAACAATTGGTATCAGAAGTGGGATCAAATCATGCCAATGTTACCTAAAGACGACACGGAGGGTATCCGTACCCGAAGTCAACGTCAGCAGGAGACAGAACAGAGACGATTTGGTGGTGCAACGCCGCGGGCGTCGGAGGGCCAGCTGCCAACCATGGAAGCCGGCCCGCAGCAGCTCCTGCATCTGCATTACCTGACTTAGGTGCTCTGATGATGATACTGCAGGAGCAGGCTCACCGACAGGAGGAACAGGCCCGCCGACAGGAGAAACAGGCCCGCCGAAAGGAGAAACAAGCCGGCCAACAGGAAGAAAAGGCGCTTTGGTTGGAAGAGCAGCTGCAGTGCTGACAAGAGGAACAGGCCTGTCGTTTGGAAGAACAGCTCAACCCCGATAAGGAGGAGCAGATGCTCCTCATGAAGGACCTTCACGCTACCTTCGGGAAATACATAAGGGAGGTGATGGATAGGGTTGCTCAACGTGACAACCGCCTGTCGGAAGCTGAAACCCGAATCGACCAAGTGAACAATCGGGTTGACAACGTGATGGCTGAAGTGAAGAAAACGCTGGACGACCTCAAATTTGAGGATGGAGTTACAGCTCCCGTGGTGGCTACAATCTTTGCTACGTGGATTCAAAGTGCCGCCGTTCGACGGAACTTCTTCCTGGTTGGCCTACAAAATTCCGTCCGAGGCGGTCATGAAGGCTAACGGCTGGAATAAAAGTCAGGTTATGACTGCTCTCATCCTAAGCCTACGCGACCAGGCCTTAACTGTTCTGGAAGCTCTCGGTAAGGAAGTGACTTACGAGCAACTCCTAGAGGCAGTGGAGGGACGATATGGCAACGCTCACCTAGAACACGTGTTTCGTGCGCAGCTTAAAGATCGCGTGCAACGCAGCAAAGAAAACCTGCAGCAGTGGGCCTTTGAGGTGGAGAAGCTGGTTCGAAAAGTATACCAGTATGTACCTGCGCTCACTGAACCTGGTGCAGACATTCATCAACGGAATTTGCGACCTTGAAGTCAGAGCTGCTGTGAGGCTCGACCACTACGAGACGCTTTTTTTATAGTATAGGGTGATAAACTAGCACAAAGTCCACCTGATGGTAAGTGGTTGCTGTGGCCCATAGACATCTACATTTATCCTCAATAAAGAATCAAAATGCAGATGCGTCGTCATCCGTGAGGACTAAGATGGAATGCCTCTTTTCCAGTAAAATAGATCTCCGGTACTCTACACTCACCATACGAAACACATCAGTGTCAAGCTGACATTTTACGCTGGTATTCCGTGAGATACTACTAATATAGCTGCAGCATGGCTCTAACACGTATACTTTAGGCTTAAGGACGCCTTGGCCCATGCACTGGAGGTGGAAGCCGTGCGGCAGAATAATCGTTCCCATCGCGTCAGGGAGATTGCAGCAGCTACAGTTCGCGACCACAACAAAGGATACAGCCCTAGGTGCTACGGCTGTGGGGAAAGGGGCCATCTTCAATCCAGCTGCCCCAATCGAACTGTGAAATGGGAAGGTGATCGACCTCGAGACAGTAAGGAAGTGGTATCTGTGAGGATTCTCAGGACAGACCAGCTTAGCAAGACATCAAGCCGATTCTGGAATGGATGAAGGCCAGTGCTCCTAAGCCCAAGCGGAGCAACGTGTTAACGATGAGTTGTGACAGCTTGCTGATTTAGAATGGAGTCCTGTGCCGTAAATGAGGAAATGGTCGGAGAGACAGCTGTAATTTGCAAATAGTTGTCCCTAAAGCTAAAGTACCGGATGTTCTACAGCTGTACCATAATGGTTGTTCAGGGGGCCATCTGGGAGCTAAACCTCTATTGAAGATCCAACAACGGTTTTGCTGAGTCCACTGTCGTGACGATGTCGAGGACTGGTGTCGCAAATGTAACTTGTGCGGCTGTAAAGGGACCTCAGACTCGTAATAGAGGTGCATTGAAATTGTACAATGTTGGTGGACCATGGGAGAGGATAGCCATTGACGTTGCGGGGCCGTTTCCGGAAAGTGAAAGCGGTCACACGTATTTCATGGTTGTGATAGATTACTTCACTAAGTGGCCAGAAGTCTCCGCCATTTTCCAAGAAGCTTCAACAGTTGCAGATAAACTAGTTCATGAAGTCTTCTGTCGTTTTGGAGTACCTTTAGAGATTCACAGCGATCAAGGAAGGAATTTTGATTCTCAAATATTCCAGGAAACTTGCCAAGTTATGGGTACACATAAAACAAGAACAACTTATTACCACCCACAATCTAATGGAATGGTAGAACGATTTAATCAGACAGAAGTACCTAGCAAAAGTTGTGGAAAACCGGCAACGAAACTGGGACAAGCACATACAACCGATTTTGTTGTCATATCAAAGCTCTATTTACGAAAGTACATCAGTGACACCGGCTGCCTGCAGACCTGATCACCGGAATACCACCCGATGCCCCATGCAGTATAACCGATTATGCAAATGACTTGCGAAACAAAATGAATGACATTTATGAGTACGTCAGACAATCTGGCCAGCCAATGTCTGAAAATATGAAAACACGGTATGACCGCAAAATTAACAACAAAGGGTTCGACGAAGGTTCACTAGTGTGGTTACACAATTCAGTTCGCAGCAAAGGGAAATCTCCAAAGCTTCAAGCTAAATGAGACGGACTATACGGGATTGTAACAGGGATCAATCACGTAACCTACCGGATACAGAAAGGTGCAAGAGGTCCTAAGATCGTCCACAATTAATGCCTGGTACATGCCGACACTAGTTCCTACTAGCGCCTTCTAGTATACAGTAGCGGAGCTAGGAGAGTCAAGATCCTTCTAGAAATTTCCATGGAAAAACTATCAACACATAGTCAGTTGAGACCGGTATGTACTCAAACATTATAGATTTTTCTAGGCCGGTATAGACCGCGCCCAGTTCAGTCCAGAGCAGTGTTGAATTGGCGATACAAGCGAATACTTCAAAGCGATACAACTGCGAACTAAAGTGATCAGTAGTACAATTGTGTTTTGTTATTAGTGTGGTTTTAAGTTGTAATTAGTTTTCTGTAATTAAAATGTTAATTTTGGTAATTTACTCCGCAGTTTTTAATTGTCTCGAACCCCAAGCTCGTAACAGTATCTGCAATTTGAGCATCTTAATTAGAAGTCCGTCCATAGTAACCCAGCGGCACCCATCGACGGCGGTAAACGACCACCGGAATAGGTGTAGGACGTGAGTGACACGCGGAGTATTTTCCATAACATTTACTCCCCGAGTTTCGGCCGTCCATCACATCTACATACAATTTAAAAAATCAACATCAAGAATATATAATTCAATCAACTGCTATTTTAAATTAAATCGTCTTCTTTAGATGACTCATTCTTGTCAACACCGTCATCGTCTGTTTCAGATTGATATTATTTTTGGTAATAATTTGTTTTACAACGCCTTCACGGATTTCAATGCATTGCAGCATTTTCCTGCCAAACACAAACCTCCGCGTACTCTTAATTTAGAAGTAGAAGGATTTAACTTCATTTTATTACTCAGCTTGTTTTTATTACATTCATACTACTAAATAGTCTCTCATCATGGGCATAGGAACGCAGAATTATTAAGAAAGTAATCGCAAAAGTTGCCAATTCCTCAAATTTGGATTCCACCGGGATGGATCGTCTTCCGCACGTCATGTCTTACGAATTATTGTTGCCTACACAGTAAAAGTAAATACTCCTGAAATGAAGTAAAAATATATTATGAAATGTCTAGGCTTTTAACAGGTTAACTAGGCTAGATTTGAGAGTGCGCTGAGCTTGCCTTAGCACCAATGTATGTACAGAATAAAATTTTGTGTAACATTCTCAATAAATATTAGAGTACTTAAGTGCCGCATGTATTTTACTTATTGCTCTTTCTTTATTTTTGGTACAAAACAAATAAAGAGATTATAAAAATCAGACTAAACTATTTGGTATTATATCGTATTTCATTAACCGACTGGACGGGATTCAAATAATTTAAACTACTCAAGTTCTCTTCTCTACCTCTAATTTTATTAAGGTGTTTTGCCAAAGGTAAGGATCTAAGTCTAAGGGAACTACTGTCCGCTATCTTTATTTGTAGTCCAAACAAATAAATAGATAGTAAAAAATTTGAATTATTTCGTACTTTTCGTCGTTCGTTGGCTGACTATACATGATTCAAAGATTTTAAACTGCTCAAGTTCTCTACTTTATCTCTAATTTTATTAAGGTGTTTTGTAAAGGCTTTCCAAGGGAACATCAGTCAGCCATCTGTTCCATCTCTGCACAGGGAGAACGACTAACTGGCCCATATTGCAAAGGAGAAAATCGATCTTTTAGGTTCTCTTTTTGAGTCCAACTCGACTCTCGGTGACGGGGGTACACACCGCTGACCATTCCACGGTGTGGTTGCACCATGTTGGATTTGCGATTTACACAGCGCTCAGTGTGCAAAGCCCTCCTCTCCCTGTACGTCCACAAGTCAAGTGGGCCTGATGGAGTCCCTCCTATTGTGCTGAAAACGGGTGCTCTCGAGTTAAACCGGTTCTAATGCATCGTTTCCAATATTCTTGTTCCCTTGATATAATCCAGAACTTATGGATGGCAGCTTTAGTGCACCCGATCCCTAAAAAGGCGACCGCTCAGACCCGTCGAACTACAGGCTTATTCCACACAGGCTTATTCGCCTCCTTGTTCCCCAAAATAATGGAATCCTTTATAAGCCGCCAGATCACAAGGTACCTTGACTACCACCAGCTGGTTAGTGACCGCATTGGCAGACTAATCAACTGGTTCTAGTTTTAATCTTTTGATTTACCCGACTCGTAGTTGAACGGAAGCAGTAAAATTCAAGAGGGAGGTCTTGGTCGTTATTTTAGACACAGGGAAAGCCTTCGATGGGCTTTGGCACAAAGCGCTTCTTTAGAAGCTTTCTTCGTACAGGCTTCCCGAGAAATTGTGTAATTGGATCATCAGTTTTCTTGCAGATCGAAGCATCAAGGCAGTAGTAGACAGTGCATACTCTGACTACAAGCCTATTAATGCCAGTGTTCCACAAGGCTGTGTGCTACCACCTACGCTGTTTCATCTGTATATAATATCAATTAGACAACAACAATTTAACAATTAGTAAGTGGTTGTAACACTGGTGGTGCTTTTTACATTGGCTGTGCTAATATTTCACAGGAAAATGCTATCAAGTATCGGAACAAACTCGGATTGCGGACGACTCTAGTCCAGTTTAAATTTCAGAAGGTAGTTTGCGCGTTTACTGCTAAAAAGAACCCCTTGGTCATACCTCCTCAATTTCAGGGCATTTCCCATGCTGCCTAAGCCAGCATCGAAATCCTCAGCATCGACATATCGAATGACGTAAAGTTCCGCGGTCACATGGAAGGGAAGGCTAAATTGGCCTTTAAAAAGCTTGGCGTGCTCAGCAGAGCGGGACAGTATTTCATGTCGGCACATCGCTTGCAGCTTTACAAGGCGCGAGTTCGTCTTCACATGGAGCTCTGTTCTCACCTCTGGACCGGGTACCCCAGTTCCAGATCCTTATGTTGTAGTTGCAACCTGGTGTTGTAGTTGTTCGTGGGCGATGGTCGACACTACCTATCAGTAAAATATGATTTAATGTGGCCGAAACCACGGGGTGGAAAGCTAGTAAAATATAAAATCTAGTAAATATTTGTGAGCTGAGCAGGCACAGACAGAATAGGTTAGCTTAAGGCTGTCGGAACTCTAAATCAGGCAATCGGAGTGATCATATTTCCACTAATTGAAACATTTTAATGATTTATCGTCGATTAAGAATCAAAATGCAGATATGTGGTCATTCCTGAAGACTAAGATGGCTTGATTCGTTTCCAGTAAAAAGGGTTTCTGGTTCTCTACACTCACCATAAGAAACACAGCAGCATTAAGCTATTATTCCACGCTGGCATTCTGTAAGAGCGTGGTTTTACCCCGGTCGAGCCGACACATTCGTGCTAGAACCATAATATAGCTGCAGCGTGGGTCTACTAAGGATGAACTGATGGGATCCGCGCAATCAAATTAAAACCCATGAAATCCAACCGTAATAAATTACACGCGGCGAAATCACAGGAAACAGCTAGTATTATATAGATAATAATGACATCTATCAAAATTTGAAAATTGAGATGGCTTTTAGGTTTCCGTAGTTACACAACAAGGAACCCTTATAGAATAGAATAGAATAGAATAGAGTAAAGTAGAGTAGGGTAGGGTAGGGTAGAGTAGGGTAGAGTAGAGTAGAGTAGAGCCGAGTAGAGTTGAGTAGAGCCAAATAGAGTAGAGTAGGGTAGGTAAGAGTAGAGTAGAGTTGAGTGGAGTATACTCATACGTAAGTATCATATTAGTCTGTACCGGTTCCGTAGCAGCAAGTAACATAATTTACGATTTATGACGTATTAAAAAAGACTACTTACTAGATCTCGTCCAAACCAATTTGCGGTGGAAGTTTACTTGGTAATGTACATTATATATTTTTTTTAGTTTTATCATTCTCTTATTTTAGAAGTTACAGGAGGGTGGACACACATTTTACCACTTTGGAAGTGTCTTTCGCGCAAACTATTCAATTTAGAAAAAAATTATATAAGAAAACTCAATTTAATTTTTGAAGTCCTATCCATAGATACCCCACACATATGGGTTTGATGAAAAAAAATTTTTTTGATTTTCAGTTCTAAGTATGGGGAACCCCCAAATTTATTGTTTTTTTTTTCTATTTTTGTGTGAAAATCTTAATGCGGTTCACAGAATACATCTACTTACCAAGTTTCAACAGCATAGTTCTTATACTTTCGGAAAAAAGTGGCTGTGACATACGGACGGACAGACAGACAGACAGACATGACGAAGCCATAAGGGTTCCGTTTTTTTGCCATTTGGCTACAGAACCCTAAAAAAAAACTTAAATGGCGCATGTGTAATGACCTCATGTTGTCGAAGACTCGCTTGCAGAGATTTGGACTGATGTTATTGATTTCGCGACGGATATTTTCATGTAGGGCTCTTATTGTCGATGGCAAATTGGCTCTTGCGGCTTATTAATTTTCCCGGGAAAATTCTTCTTATTTTCCCTCTAGAGGCTTTAGCGGTATGAGTCGTGGTCATATCCTGCTGGAAACGTGTTTTGTTATTCAAGCCAACATACTTACTTAGATCCGGTATGAAAAAGTTGTCCAGCATTTCGCAGTATCTTTATGCAGTGACGGTTCCACGTTCGCCAAAAACATAAGGGCCAATTATGCCATTACTGGAAATGGCATACCAAAGTGTTGTCTTCGGGCTATGCTGAGGCTTTTGATGAACTTCTTTGGGGTTATGTTCGCTCCAATATCGCAGTATCTTTATGCAGAGATGGTTTCACGTTCGCCAAAA